AAATAGAAAAGTAGTCAACAACGTTTTGTTTAAATTTTTAGAAGTGTTGTTAGTTTATAGTTGCGTTTTTTAACTGAACAAATAAACCACAAAAAGCTTTATCGATTTGATTAATGGACGAAGCGATAAAATGGCACGTACTTTTTTATAACAGGTAGATTAGATTAGTAAGCATTGCAAAAGTATTGGCTAAACTAATAACCTAAAAACAAGAAGCTAAAAACAAGAAAACATTTCTACAATAATTCAATTCTTAATATATGACAAGACTTGGTCAACTGTATAAAGCAAAGTTAGCGAAGTGTGAGGTATTATAAATCTGTAAAAAGAAAAATTTTGAGATAAGATGACAGATATTGGTCTGAGAAGTTATAGAAAAATTGTAAAATTCTTTTATAATCAAAATTAACTTTTAATTGTGCTCTACAATTTTTATTTGTTTCTTTTATACCTTCTTTTTAAAGACATTTGAAAAATTCTGTAAAATAAATACCTTAAAATAAAACGCTATCGATAACCACAAAGTTATCAAATACCATTTAATCGTACCTTTTAAAAAGCTGTTTAGAAATAAATTGTTCAAAACTACGCTTTACTATCACTTGTTGGTCTTTTTTAGCTACATTAATAACTATAAACACTCTCTTGTCAATGAGCTAGTTAAACAATAAAACGAGAAATCATCTTTGCTTTTTTCTAAAAACAAAAAACATGCTTTTTTTTCTTGAACCACAAGAAGAGGAAAGTTAAGACGTAATAGTTAAAGTATATTACAGAATCCCTAAGCCGTTTCTCTAAACCGCTTGCGAGACAGAACGAAAGACAAAAGTTGTATTTTTATATTGTTTGTAAAAAATGTCTAAAAAATGCCTGACAAAAAATGTTAGAAATCTAATTAAAAAATGTCTAAGAATTTCAGCAGATGATGACTAATAGAAAGTTTTATTATAATCAAAAAGTGGTAACGTAACACAGCTGCTTATTTTCTTGTCACTTGACGTTTAGCAGCAAAGGTATGATCAACAGTTAAATTTTGTTGCTACGGTTAATTAAATTATGATACATGTGCAATTATTTAAAAACGTAAGTAATTTTAACACAGAACTTTCTCTGTTGTTGATGTTGCAGTCGAAATAGTGATAGTGTAAAAAGCACAGATCGGCTGAACATAAGAACGGTACAAGAAAAAGAAAGTCAAAACAAAATATTTAGGTATTTCACAGATTGCGAAGTCTTAACCAAAATAAATTTTTTTACTCTTTTTTCAGTATTAAAAAATGTTGTTTATTTTTTTTTTATTATTTCTGGTCACTAAAATAGGAAATGACAATATAAGCTTTACAGAAAGAGATTTTGCTGCGCTGTACAGCTATAAAGTTTTGAAATTGTTTCTGGATTTTTAAAGCTACATGCAGATACTTCAGGCGTAACCAAACACCATAAAACTTGAAAAAAAAATTTTTTCAATGTTAAGAAATAATTGGTGTAAATTTGTAAACGGTCTACAGAAGACAAGTTTGTTATACTTTGGGCTTACTTTTAGAGAGCCAAAATACAAGTTTTCAGCCTGTTTTAGCAGAACTTTAAGAAATCTTTAAACTTAATCTATAAAATTAACACATTTGAAATTGCAATTTTCTTAAACTTAAATAACTTTCGTTTTTTTTTTAGCTGAATTAAAAAGTATATTTTATCTTTTATAAAACTAATAAATATTTTTAAAAATTTAATTTCTTTAAAGGAAAGCTTTGCTTATTCGTTTTGTAGTTTTTACACGACTAAAATATTTTAAAAGCAAACGCCACATTTTGCATAAAAAACAATGCAGTCTCGAAAAAATGTAATTTTACTCGAGACATCAAACGTTGCTCTTGGCGATAAATAAAAAAGCTTTACAGTTTTGTTGACTTTATTGAATACAAACAGCAATTTTTTTTTTCAACCACTTCAAGGTGTAAATCTTTTTTTCTACAAAAATCAAATAATTACATGTTTTGACAAAACGTTTTTTCTTTGAGCATCAGCTTTCTTTATGTCACTGACGCAAAACATGTCTACTCTGTAATTTATTTCAAAAATTTCTCAAAACTGCTGGAGAATAAGTTAAAGCTTGTTAAACGATTTTTTACTGTCAAAATTGTTTAAAATTTTTATTTAATTAAGACAGTAAAATTGTTACGTATTGTATTTCAAAGACAAGTCCTTCTAAAGAATTTAAGAAACTTTTAAAAACGCTTTTTAAAACACGGGTTTTATATGAGTTTACAGCAACAAGAGCAGAACATTCTTTTTGAAGTTATAAATTAGCATTTATATATTATATTTGGTAGTGACTCGGTCACACAGCCACTCAGTTTTCCTGTGTGACTTCAACGTGACCATCTCAGAAAAGGTTGCGTAGTACCTGATTCTGAAAAATTATTTCTGAACCTCCATTTTAAAAGCTTTCTGAACATTTGAAAGATATTATAATAAACCAAGTGTAAGTAGGAACTGTAATAAATTCCAAAGATTTGTGTTTTTAGCAATTTCTTTAAAAGGTCAAAGGAAAAGTCAACCACAATTTCCCGACCTTTTTCTTATCAAGAATACTGATGTAGATAGAAGCTGCTTAGTAGCATTTTTGTCAAAAAATTGAAAAAGATTTTCGACTGTGTTTAAGGCTACAAGCAAGAACCGACAAACTGGAAGCGGCTAGTGAAGTCACTTACAAAAACCGTAAATTCTGCTTTCCGGAACTGCTATTTCAAGACTGTCTCTGAGTAAGCCAAAAAGAAACACACTATTTGAGCGAACTAAAAAGCAAGAAATGTTTGCGGAAGATGCTTCAGAGAGAAGCATTGCAAGAAAAAGGTAAAATTTGTTTTGTGAACATAACACAGCTTTATTCGAGGTTAAGGAAATAGAAAAACTTTGAAGGCCAAGGAAAACCAGTACTTAAACGACTCAGATCATAATGAGTTGACTTTGGAAAGCAATTGGAAATGCTTCTGAAATATCAGGAAATGGTAGAGGAGGTACTGCAGTTGAAGATTATTATATCGGTTTCACGACTGCATGTAGAATTGGCTGATTTCGCATTTAGAGTACTAAAGAGGCCTCAAATTTGGCGAAAAAGCAGCAAAGCCTAGAACATAATGGGGTTTTGACAAACGAAAAATACCGAAGGTTGCTTAACGGTGGTCTCTGCAGAGGGTTATTGTTGCCGCATTTTCCGGTAAGAATTTTCTTAAAGACAAGACTTTCCCCATTAATAATAACTAATGATATCGAAGCGTCTTTTCTTCAAATAAACCTTCTTGCATCAGGTCGTAAGTTTACGAAATTTTTTGGGTGCAAGGCACAGCGAAAAAACGTACTGGAGAAAACAACGAAGCTTTTCACCGGAAAAGAATGCATTTTGAGGAAATTTTTTTCTTTTTTTCATTGGCAACTTCTAATTTGACTCATTACATATGCTATAACCACATAGCGGCTGACTTGTTTAGAGAATTCTTTATATAGATAAGCTAACGTTAACTGTGGAAACGCTAGAGGGAACTATTAAGCTGCGAGGTCAAGTGCGACAAGGTTTTGCAGAAGCAACGATCCATTTACGGGAATTCGTCGTTAATCACAAACGGGTCTATCACTCCGTGACCAAATTGAAATTTATAGAACTTTCAAAGCGATATGAAGTCCGAAAACTGCTCTGACTGTGTTAAACTGCTCTGACTGTGCAAGGTTGTTAAAGTTAAAACTGCTCTGACTGTGCAAGGTTGTTAAAGTGCAGATATAAAAAGAACCATAGTAAGTTTCTTTGTTTTAATGCCTGACCGAATAGAAATACTGTTGCTAGTCATCTTATCTTGTAAAAGCCGACTACATTAATCTGTGAAAGAGAAGACTGATTAAGACTAGCTAGTAAGACTATTGAGGACTTAAACAAAAAATTGAGAAACTCTGTAACTCTTGGAAAGATGTGTGCTAATATATTTTATGGCACAAGGTTGTAGAGAAGCCTGTAGTTTAAGCATTTAACGATACATCAAAACTGCTTAATTTGTAAACGTGTACCTGAGAAAAGTGAGGAGCAAAACTCTCAACTTTAGCTTTTTTTTACTCAAAAGTAACAGTAGATTTTATTAACAAATTATCTCTTGCATGAATGACATTACTAGGAGTTTTTTAAATGCAAGAATAGCCAAACTTCTATGCGACCGAACAGAGCTGGATAAAACGAATTTTGAGGTTAACAATGCTACTATGCTGGTGAGTCAAGAAATGTCAGATTGTTCAAGAAGTTTGAAAACTCTGAAAAGCGGCATTTTTAGCCAGGTATACTTGTATTTTATTGTGTTATTAACGTTAGTGCTTACTTCTTTCAGGCTTTTTTATTTCAATATTTGTAAAACCTCAATTTTGCATTGCAATAAGCTGCTTTAATTATTCTGTACTTGTTACGGAACTTCAGCTTATGAACGCTTCCAGTTGTTAAAACCAGAATTACACTCGTGAACTTGCCTCAGATGCAGTCGTAGAAAAAATGACCGAAAAAAATTAAAATTAAAAAACAGAATTAAAAAATTTGTTTAGACTAAATGTTTTTGAAAAGCAAAAATCTATTGCCGACTAATGAAACATATCCTGTAACCTGAAAGATGAGGATATCGTTTTAAATGCGACAGGAATGATTTTAAAAAATTTAGCTTTGTAGTAGAGGACGATTTTTAACAACATTAATGCCATTAAATAGTAAGTTTTTGGGTAACAGGTTTATAGTTAACGTTACTGGAAGTACACCAAAGAATAAAGTTTATTTTAAAACATTGAACAAATTTATAAAATTTGTACTTATGTTGCAGCAAAGGAAAAAAATAGAAGAAAAAACACAAAAATAAACAGATAAGAATAAAAAAAATAACAAATTTAATTCTAAAATTTTTAATAAGCTTTCTGGCTATTATCCTGAACAATAAAAAAGTCATTTTTTTCTTTTCGATACTGACTCGTTCATTTCTTCAAAAAGGCAGAAAGTCACGCAGGGAAAGATGGAGGTACAGTAATAAACCAGTAATATACAGGGCTGTCAGTAAACGCATATTAGAACTACCATCATCGGTTTTTGGCCGTCTCTCACCAGTTATCACATTGTAGTCATAAACTTCTAAAGAATTCCAAAACTGATATGCACTATCAGAAAATAAGTCGTTCATTACTCGTGGATTAGGACGATATCGCAAGTGACGAGAAGGGTATTCGCTTGTCGCTTTTTCCCATACAACACCAGTAAATGATGGATCACTAAATCTTCATCACATTAAAATTTTTATCACTGTATCAACGTAAATAAAATGCTAACACTTAAGGCCAATTTG